GGTGTTGTGTGGAAAGCCGTGACTGCCAATCACCTCCTTCCAGGGAAACTAAGCGAGAGACGTGCCATTGGGCTCGCGGGAGTCCCTACAGGGACCTTTCTGTGGGTGACATTTCACTCCTTCGGTTTATTTAGTGGTCTCTTCCTTACTCTACATCGCTTTGCGCTGTCGTCACAGCCCCGTTCAAGGTGAGGCAAAATGAAAGGGGAAATTCAGGAGACCTCAGTAGAGAAAGGAATCCCTTACCCATGGGTCTAGTTGAAGCCTCTTACTACCAGAGAAGAATTTCAGTACAATTAACAACTGATTGTGGCTCTCCCCACCCCCATCCCTCAGCTGGAAAACCTGCAAGTTTGTAGGAGTCTGCAAGTTGCACTGCAAACCTCTGTGCAACCCTAGGAACTCCTGGTTTTGCTTTATCTGGAGCCTCGTTAGAATCTTAGTATCAAAAGAGAAAATAATGCACGGGATGGAGTGTGGGGGGGGAGGGGATTCTGTTTTGTTTTGTTTTGTTTTTTGAGACAGGGTTTCTCTTCGTAGTCCTGGCTGCCCTGGAACTCCCTCTGTACACCAGGCTGGTTTTGAACTCAAAGAACTACTTGCCTCTGCCTCCAGAGGACTGGGAATAAAGAAGGTTTGTGCTACCACTGCCTGGCCAGAGTGGGGGATTTAGCTTTGTAACTTGAGAGCCACCAAAATGGTACCTATGGCTAATACTAGGACACTCAAAGAAATCTCTCCCTTGAAGAGGACATAGCCAAGTGTGGATATGTCTTTAAGCAACCTTCTCCTAACCCTCATGCCTAAAGTCTATATTAGATTATCTTCATAACTCTGCTTCATACTGGATAATATTGAAATTATTTTCTGCATTGAAGACACAAACTCTGGTTTGAGGTATACATACAAAAGAAAAAGGAAAAAAAAACATACACGTAAAAAAAAAAACAACTTAATCCTGAATTGGCCTGAGTTGATGTCCCTGAAAGATTGGAGGAACTCCGTGGACTGCTAAAGATGATAGTGTGAAGCTGTGTCTCTGTCACCAAACCACTGACAGACTTTAAGGCTATAATAGTGAACAAAAGAGACAGGATTCCAGTCTTTGTGGAGTCTACAGTCACATGGGGGATATAACCAAATGAGCAAATAAAACACAGAAAATGAAAATAAGTTTAACATACAGAAATTGTGAGGAAGGGGGTAATGTATGTACCAAGCACCTAGAAACTGCTCCTGCTGAAAAGGCCTTAACTCCTTATTTGGGCCCAAAGGTAACCAGAAAACCCTGGCATCTCTGCCTTCATTTTGTAGCTGTCTCATTTACTCTGGGTTACCTGCTCACCTCTGCACTGAGGTGTACTACTTGAGGAGGATCTGTCAAAAAACAAACAAACAAAAAAAAAAACAAATAAAAACTGGTGTCTAGCCTCATTTTCCTTCAAGTCTGAATGCCAGACACATAGGAGTAACCAACACATTTTACTGTCACTTTTTACTCCCAGGGATCTTTCTCTCCAAGAGGCACCTAAAAGTATAGCCAGCACTGAGACAGTGATGAGCAGAATACACTTGACCAGGTCTGCTTGATTATTCCTACCTCTTGTCCCCAGCCTCAATTCTTCCTCTAAATCTAAAGCTCTTGTAAGTTCCCCAGAGACACTGTTGCGGTCAGTAGACCCTTTATCGGTTCCTCTTTCCTGTGTGCCCATCAATGAAATCTCTGCTTCTCACCAGCATTTGTCCTTATTGGGCATCTGGGGACAGGTGATGGAGCTTGAACTAGTGGAGCTGCAAA